GCTCGGTTCTTTATCATCCTGTGTGTTATCATTTATATCAGCTAAATTAGCACGTGGCTCAGCTAAATTTGCAATGTGCTAAATTTGCTCTTTTAGGTTATCATTAGCCTCGGTGTCTAAGTCCTTGAATTCAGCATCGTATGTACTAAGCATGAGTTGGAAAAACTTAAGTTCCTTAAACTTTCTCGCGTCTAATTCACCTAATTTTTCTTTGCGTTCGTACTCAATAATGAGTTGCCGTAAAAACGCATCTATCCTCTCCATGGTCGCAAAAGTCAAGGAACTGTCCAAATCTAGCGCCCAAATAAACGCATGCAAAACTGCGCTCCGGAACCGGGCCCACTCGACGGTGTCCCAGCAGACAAATGGCAGGCGGAATCCTACAAGGCCCCTGCCTCTCACACTGACAGCGAGAGCTTGGGGTAACTATGTAGGAAGAAAATCCAAGCCAAGAAAAAATAAATAAATATTTAGAAAATAATCCTAAACAATATTATAAAAATTATAGCAATTAATAACAGTTAAACAGCAATAAGACGATGGCAGTGGATAAGCAAAATAAAGCTTTCGACTTAGCACGTGGCTCATAGACACGTGGTCAGATCGGATTCGGTAGCAGGCACAATCACTTTCACGACGAAACTTCAAGCACCGCTTCCTCCTCTTGAAATGTAAATAAATAATTAAACCGTAAGTCACAAGGCCTTTTTATGGCAAACCGATGAAAATAGTTCAACGAATGCCAACCTTTTTTTAGTACAAGTATAATCAGATAGTAAAACGCTAAGTAATCAAAATGCAAGAACGAGGGGACCAAGCACCTTCACGCGTGACGTAGGAGTCGTATGACATAGACTTTTCTCGAAATGACGAAGTGCAAATAGAAGTTGTTATTTTTAGAATACAGAAGGGAAATTCACTTTTAAGCTGCTAATTTAATCTTTAACGCATTCTTTTAATTTTCTTACATATATACAATTGTATTCTAGCTTAGAAATATGATCAGCATGTGCCTTTCAAGTGTTCTTAAGCAATTATTTCACTATTCAAAATTACAGAAGCAGAGTTCTGTTCTCCAGGTTTAAGAACAGACTTTAGCAAAGCCTTGCTGCTCGCTTGTCAGCAAAAATTAACATGTATCACTTCAAATTAACAAATCTACTATCTCTTCGGGTGATAATTTAAACTTTCTTGTGTACTCACACATATTACATCAATTGTATCTTATCCGATAAGTGAATTAGCATTAATTTGAAAATACACTATGGACGCTGAAAGTGCAACATTACGAAAGGCAGGTGCTATCAAAGCCACATTTGTAATGATAACTTATGATCCAAGGATAAAATGATTACAATTAGAACTTAATTCGATTTTCAGAACCCAAAGAAATCTACATCTCATGTAATCACCATTAACAGTAATAAAACGTTTACAGGAACTTTATAAACGCAGAAGCCTGAACAATCAAAAATAGCTAATGCAATAGAGTCTTGAGATAGACTAACCCAGTAGGCGAGGCGCGCGTCACCGACATGTCGGCAAGAAAGAGTAGGGACGATCTGGTTTACTTTAACACTGAAGCCTATACGTTTGTATCCCATAACTCCATTTAATTATTAAATGTGATACGTTGTATAGAGATAAGATTATGAAAGCCACAGTTTTTTCCCAAATAGGATTTAATATATCTCATTTAAAGCAATTTTTACTGCATTTCGCGCATTTTTTTCACGCGTAATTCTTGTACAAACGTCTTTACTTTGGTAAAACGGTAAAAATCTAAGGACAAAATTTATGAACTTAATTTTGCGTACAAATAACGTAAAATTAAATAAGATTGATAGTGCGTGATGCTTTGAAATTAATAAGGTAAAATTAAACAAGATCTGATATTTTTTTAAAATTTAATGACCATTTTCAGGCAGTGATTTTCAAAACTATAATAACATTACAAAACAATCATTATTTGATTATATCATCATTGACTTATTAACATTAAAGGTGGAATATTTATTTTAGTAATTTATAAAATTCGGAGGATAAAATTTTCTGAGTGTAATGAAGGGAGGAAAAAAGGTAAAATAAAATCTAGAAGCACTCAGATTTTATATTACGCCCAAAAGGAACCTTTTTTTTTTTTTTTTTTTTTTTTTTAAGTTTTGTGTGTTACGTACATTTATTGAATATCATGTTCTTCGCCCGTAAACCACATACATTTGAAAACAGCATATCTTTAGAATTTCCGCACTGGAGATAAAACTATTATTTTCCGTACAGTGCTCGCTCTGAACTCGTTGAGTTTGTTGATCAAAAATTTGTTAAAGTCTCAAATATGAAATAGATTAAAACAAATTCGAAATTCTGCCGTCCAGATGCCCATGTTCGGGTGGAGGATTACATTATTCAAAATTTGATGGCTCTAGATACTGTCGTTTTTGTCACAGTGCGAGAACAGAGTCGTAGCTAGAGTTTTCAGCGCCCAGGGACAACTGAAGATTTCGCGCCCCCTACTGCTTGCCAAGGATGGAAAACATTTTATTCTAAAATGTAGTAACATCAGTTTGGCGCCCCTTGGATTCTGCGCCCGGGGACAGATGCCCCCCTTTAGCTACGCCCCTGTGCGAGAAACATACATGCATTCACGCAGATCCTTCATTATTTAATATTTTTAAATATAAGACAGAGCGATAATATTTGGTAACAACAATTTGCAAGGAGACACGGACATTTATAGTAAAACAGCGCAAAATGCCGCTTCGAAACTAACTGCCTTTCTAGGCTACCGCCCCTTTGGGCTAATAAATTAAATTAACAGTAAATAAAAAAAAAAAAATCTTTTGCAGAACTAAAAATAAATTTAAAAAATAATCACTATAAAATACAAGCAAAATTAATTATTAAGGTTAAATACAATTTTAATATCAAAATTAAATGCATAAAAATTTTTAAGGAGTCAAACGTGTTTATCACTATGATGTATTATGAAATATAATTGAAATAAAATTCTTTTATAGAAATTGTGCTATAATGCTCATCTATAATTTTAAAAAAGCAGCACAATTTAGAATTTTAAACAAAACTTTCAAAAATTCGTTTTTAAATATTTTAGTATTTTTTACTTATTCACACCAATAAAAAGCATAAAAATTGCAAGAGAAAATTGCTTGTTTGAAATTTTCTATTAGTTCAGATTTAAAATATTATTTTCTAAAATAAGTAGTTACAATTTCCTTACAGCATAGGAAAAGCTAAAAAAAATATCCAGTCCTGAAAGCATGCAATAGCTTTATAATTATTTGGAACGCTAATTGTGCTTGATAAATATGCTAATTTTTTTAAATCAATCTGAATTTCAAAAATAAAAATATGTAGAAATTCTAATTTGTGAAATGAGGCGCTACAACCAGCTTTTTCATGACAATTATACACGCTTCAATAGGCATCCATTGTTAAATTTCTGCAAGTCGTCCCTACTCCTCCGGATGGGATGAAGGTGACAGCCGGGAACGCCTCATACGAGGAAGAAACCCATTTGGGTTAGTCTATTTCTTATAAGGTCCATGACTATACGTTGTGCATGAGTCTGTTCTATAACAGTCTAATTCTTAACCTAGTGTCTGTAATATCACTAGATGAACCATAATAGCTTTGCATAAAACAAGTTGGTGAGTTCGTACCAACTCTGCCCGCGAATTCCTTATTCGCATCACTGCGGATTTCTTCTATCCACAAAGAACAAATCTCGGAATTTTCTGGAAGGAAAATCTTTAATCTTGATATCCCAGAATTATCTTGTGATCAAATTGGATAAGTGCTTTACGTTTACTGTACTCTTCTATAAAATACAACTTAAGACATCTATGAACAACGAGCAAGCATAAATACACTGCTTACTAGCAACTAATGTTTTTTTCCCTCTTTGATACTCATTTAGAATATGTTACTAGCATATATGATATTTATATAGTCTATATAACTAATCATTTACATGTCCTTCGGTGGTTAATGCACATTTCGGGCCGATTAAATATGTCCTGCCTGGTGTCGCAATTTTATCAGCCAGCAATGTAAAAAAAAAATATTTGAGAAATTGCATAACGAAGTAGCACACCAGTAAAAATATTTATTGACTTCATTTCCATAACCGGTTACATTAAACATCAGAATTTACATTTCAAACTCGGAATGATTGTTAACAAATTTTGCATTTAAAAATATACGAAGTAGATTACGTTTCCGTCTGTGTCCGCTAGGGGCGGGGCTAGCGCGGCCATCTTGGGGTCAGAGCGTTGCGCAGCTCAGTCTGCATCTAGCCGTGCTAGTGAGAGGTTCGTGCTGTGCTCCGTTCAGATACTGTGACGGTTTGAAATGTCTGCGTTAATTGAAAATCCCGCGAGCTGCGAGGTGCGCTCAGTAATAAGGTTTCTGACTGCAAAAAACTGTAAACCGATAGAAATCTATCGGCAGCTTCGTGAAGTGTATGGGGACAACATCACTGAAGGTGGAGTGCGTCAGTGGGTCATAAGATTTCAAAATGGCCGAACCAATGTTCACGACGAAGATCGAAGTGGGAGACCCAGCATAGTGACCGCCGAACTTCTCGAAAAAGTCGATGCTAAAGTCCGTGAAAATCGAAATTTCACAATAACGGAAACTTCTTTGAGTTTTCCACAAATTTCGCGAAGTTTGTTGCACGAAATCATCAGCGGAAAAGCTTGGTTACCACAAATTTTGTGCAAGATGGAAGGCAAGAAGAGGTAACGAAGTGGTTGAAGGCGCAGGCGGCCGAATTTTTCGACGAAGGAATTTCCAAGCTCGTACATCGCTACGATAAATGCCTTAATTTGTATGGTGACTATGTAGAAAAGTAGTATTTGAGTGTGGCTTTCATCTGTATATAATAAAATTTGTTTCCTATACTTTGTTTATTTTTTTATTCCAAAACGTAATCTACTTTCTGGATAGCCCTCGTATAACACAAAATAAAAGTCCGTTTAAAACATTTATAAGGATATGTTTAATTCCAACAGGTCAGTTGTGACACAATTTTAAATAAATACAAGTTTGCAAAACATTACAAATATACATAACATTCCAGGTGTTCTATATATGAAAATATCTCACTATATAAATATATATAAATATTATCTGCAGCAGAAGTTAGGAACTGCTGCAGATGTGGAAGCACAAAATCACTTTTCTCACATCTCTCTTTGCTGAAATAATATAAGGACTCAACCTAACGAAAATCATTTCAAAATTATGCATTTACTTGAAAATGGTCAAGCAAAAGTAACATAATGATTCAAACTGAATTCCATACAAAAAAACTTTAACTCCAACAGAGAACATTTATGACATTTAACCTAATTCTAAAAGCATTAAGTAGAAAATTCTAAAATCTCCAAAGCAGACCACAGATTACTTACTAAATAATCCACCTACAAACACTTACTTTAAAGAGTGGTAAATTTGATATTTTTCTCATGCAGAATGAGCTTAATATTGTCGCAGTGTTCCAAAAAATTATTCCCTCATAAATTATAGATTACTAATCTCCTAACCAATTATTAATTGTAATTACACTATGACTTTAAAATCCATTAATAATATACATTTACAATTTAATAAATATATAATATCTGATTATAGTATATGGGTTACTTAAAAGCAAAGAGTTTAATCATATATGTCACATGAATTCCTACCTCTCTCCCCCCCAAAAAACAGTGATGCATAAGAAGTATTTTATTTATATTTACCTTAAAGACAAAATAAGATGAACAATATAATGCTTATACTTCCAATGAATCATAAGTGATTTTTCAAAACCTAACACACATGTAAATTAATTAAAGACTACCAATGTTCTCCTCTCTAGTCTTCTAATAACATGTTTCCTTTCCCTCACACTCCTGAAAATCAAAATTATACTTTTTAACAATATTTATTGTACTAAGTCAAAACGTGGTTGCAAAGATTAGATCACATTTACATATTTCTCAAAATAGAAACATGAATGTGCATTCATTTAAATAAAGTTATACATCAAAGATGTTTTATTAGAAGGGAAAGATGGGATAATCAGACGTTTGGAAAGTGGAAATCCGTTTTTTTGTTCTTTAAACACATAAAAAATTTAGTTCTTGAAACTTGAGATTGTTTTTAAAAGTTTGATCAGTTTTTAAAAGTATTGGGTCATACAACAGTAATTAATTCTGTGGACAGCTTGTATTAACTCTTCAACAGACTACTGATACTTAAAATTTATAAGAAACCTTTCTAAAGTGGATTAGTGAATTCCTGATGAAATGTATGATATAAATTTGAAACAACGAATGGAAATTTCCATTTCTCACCTATCTGAGTCGGTCATTTCTGTAATGAATAGTCATGAAAAAATGGATTTTTAACAACATAGATATAAAAGATGCAAGATTGATATGGACAATATCTGATAAAGGAAGAATTCTTTAACGAAGATAATACTGTACCACTGATATGAAACAATTATTACACAGACAAATACTGTACAGAATTTTCTGAAAATCATATCAACAACTAAATAACACTAATATAAACAACTGACAGAATTAACCTACTGATGAAAAAATCTTCATTAGCTGATGAAGAGAGCATGCTACTGCATTCCTCCAGTACATGATTTCTCACAACATGAAGCTGAAAAACTTGAGACTATCTGAATGAAAAAATGAGAAGTTATGCCTCATCCACTATATCTCCTTACCAGGTACCATCAGATTACAATTTTCTTTTAAACCTCCAAAACCACCACAATAGAAAATTGTTCAACTCAGAATACGATGCACAAAAAAAAACTTGTTCTTTGGAATAAAACACAGCAGCTTCTGTTATCAGGAAATTGAAAAAAAAAAAAAAAAATAAATAAATTGAAATAAATTAATATTTAAAATTACGTTGGGAACAAGCTGTAAACTACAATACTACTTTAAAATTTATTCTGAAACAGTCATATTACTTGTAGAATGACCCAATACCTATAAAGTTACTGAATTATAATATTTATTATATACTTAAAATTAATGCTTGCTACAGCATTATCTTTAATTTAAGTGCTTTTAATAAACTTTATTTAAACAGTTGTCAAGCATTATATTGCTGCAAATAACATAAAAATTCTTGCGAATTTTCATGAATTTCAGCCTTTTCCTTTCTGCGTATAATGAATCCTAATTTTTTTTCTAACTAGGATTCGAAGCATTTAAAAAATGAAGTGGTTTCTAACAGAAAATTATATAATAAAAAATAAATCAGTGAAAGCTGCAAATATCTGACTATCAAGGATGAATAATGTAATATAAAATTCAAAATTCAACATCGAGAATGCTACACTGAAAGACAGATTTTTTTCCTCTTCTCTTGGACTCCTTTTTCTTAATTAATTCTTGAATATATATTTTCATCATGACCTAATACTGAACTATGCATTTCTTTGAATTTTTTTAAATAGTAAAATACAATTTCTTTTTTTTTCTGTCATTAAAAATTAGAAAAATAACTTAAATCAGATAAATGGTCATTAATCAATAATATTGAAAAACCTGGGTTATATAACACTAAGTGGTAAATTCATACCTACAGTATCTACTTATTTATTACTTATATTATTAATGACCTTTTTATGTACATTACTACATCCTATCAGGATGCAATGAACTGATACTTTAATGAAAGACTATATTTTAATTTGAAAAAAAAATTAATAAATCTAATTATATGAATGCACTCTGTTTTAATTAAAATGGAAAATAGTAATCTTATCACTTTTATGTGACAAAATATTTCACCCATTTGCCATGAAAAGTAAGACTAAAAATAAAATAAAATAATATTTTATCAGTTCAGTCCTAGATGTAAATAAGTATAAGAATTTATTTTCTCACTACACTTCTTAAATATCAATTTTCTAAATTGTCATGAATCAAATTTTACATATACCAATCAATAAAGAACAAAGTTAAAAATGTTAGTATGCGATACAGGTGTACATTGCAGTAAGTAAACTACGATAATAAATATACCTTACATTTTTAATTCATTGAGGGTAACATAGCAAGTAGTTAAATGAAATAGCATCAACAAAAGCAAATGAAACAGACAAAATATTAAGAAAAAACTTCCATGTGATAATAGTAAGTATTAACTCCACTTAAGCTGAAATTTTCTCACATTATTTTATAATGACCAACAAAAGATTCAACTAATTCAACAGTTAAAGCTCAGATATTATTTTAATTAGCACAAAAAATGCTTACTTCTAAAATGATTAAGAATATTACTAGCATATAAAAAGAAATACACAGAAGTATATATTAAAAATACACAGAAGCAACAGAATCTCTGTTTCTGTTGTTTTATGTATCAGATTAATTGTGTTCAACACATAATCAATTTGATACATAAAAGTTTAAACTTCCAGAAAATGCTTTTAAAATTTAAAAATGTCAGTTTCTTAATCAATTCCAAATATATAAATCTTTAAATAACAGCAAATCAAATTTTCAATATCACTATAAAAATTTTTACAGTTTCAGTAAAATTAATATAAACAATACAGTTAACAGAACTCATTAGTTATCCGAAAAAAATAAACCCATTTAATGTTATTAGTTTAACATCTTTAAAATTATTAAAATTACCACCAGATGTACTACAAATAAAATTTTACTCTTTTTAAAAATCTACAGTGAATTTTTTTTTTTTTTTCTTTTACTCAGAAATAATTATTTTACATATGCACTATAAGCAAATAAAAAAGGTTTTTGGATGCATACTGTAAAATACTACAAACACATTTAAAGTCATGAATATTAAAACTCTTCAATACAAAAATTACTTTTCATTTTAACAGTAAAATATATATAAAAGCATTGGAATCAAAATTAACAAATTTGTTAAATTTAGTGAAATTTATTAGCCAGATTTATATAAATGTTAACATTTATAATGACATATTTGAAAATTAAATTACAGTTCAAATAGCTACTCTGCATATATCACATGTATGTGAATTAAGAAAACAAACAAATGACTACTGAGATGTATCCTCACAAGTATTTGCAGCTTTTAAGGGGGAAAAATCAAGATTATAATTTTTCTTCTGATATAAAAATATGCAAAATTTTCATAATATGTCACTGATCAAGACATACTTAAATGACAAACAATCTAGAAGTTCATAAGGCCATTCAGAAATTCAATAAATATTTTTCCTTAACTTCTTTATAGAAATTATACAACTGATAAAGCTTGCAGTAATTATTATCTAATGAGATAAATAAGATTAGAACACTCAAAATATATTACTACCATGTCTAAAAGTATTATATGAAATACAATAAAAAAAATTAATGATAATTTGTCCCATTTAAGTAAAGATCACAAAAACTGCTTCTTTTAAAAATTACATCTTCATTTAGAAAGGAAAATTATTAACACAAATTATTTTGTAAAAACTTTGTAATTTAAACCAGCAAGGTTCTTGCCATGAAAGTTTTGCTACACTTATATGCTACATATTGCACTTAACACTTTATATGCAACATATTGCATAAGTTTTTAAAATTTTTCTCTAAATCTTAATATGTTATGAAAGTTAAATGCTATTTACTTAAAATTAAGATATAGGTGTAAGTTAAAGAAAATTAAACAACTTATTTAAATACTGAAGTAAAATATCCCAGTCTTTTTATTTTTCACTTTTAGTTATACATTATTTAATGATCTGAAGTTTCTTTTAATTTTTTAATATAATATTTTTTAACTTTTAAAGTTAGTCTCATTAATTCAGTTAAATCAGATAAAAAAAAACATAAAATCTTAAAATTCTATCTAAATGAATTATGAATTGTCTACAGAGTTTTTATGATTGCAATAATAATTTCTAAAGCAACTTCATATTTTCTAGGCTGTAGTTTAAATTACTAACTTTAAAGATAATCATGGCACACAGTATGGGGAGTTCAAATACAACTTCACTTATTCCACACTTACTAAAAACTAAATTATATTTTAAATATACTATTGATTTCAGCAAACATTAAAATCCCAGGAGCAAACTATAACATCTAATTAATCAATTGATAAGAATAAGTAATATTAACTAGAAGCTAGAGCTTTAGGTGTACCAGGAAAGAAACCAGAAAAAAGCATATCACTGCCAAAGCATGGTATTTTATCCTGCATTTGAACTCCTGATATGCAACCCAAATTAGGGATGGTTAGCCTGCTATATTGAGAGAGAAGATGAGTCCATAAACTAGGACTTCCTTTACGTTCCTCACTGACAAAAAACGATCCCCAATATTTTGACACTAAGGTCTGTGATTCTGAATGCAGTTCTTGAACATTATCCATTCCTTCTGCCAACATTTCTTCAACAATGGCTACAATGTCCCATCGTGCAATTTCTGATGCAGCATACACATCTTCTATCAATGAATCACCGAAGTACAACATTTTTGGATCTTTAGTTTTACTAAGAATAGAACATACTTCTTGCAGATGCTTCCAATTTCCCTGTGAATAAATTAAATGGCGTTTCATATCTTCAGGTTTAACTCCACTAACTTCAGTATTTTCATTAATTATGCAAAATGGTTTGTCTTTCCAGAAGAAACCTGGTTTGCGAGCAAATGTGATTATAATATCGAAGTATTGTTTCCAGTCTTTTCCGAGACTATGTTCTGCAAGGAATGCTGCAGAATCATAATTGGAGCTTGTCAGCAAGAAGGTAATCTTGTGTTTAGCTATTTCCCTTAGCCATCTCTTAACATTTTCACTGCATGGCTCCACATACAAATCAGGATATTTTTTTAAATCTGGAAAGAATTCACCACTGTTGTTTTTGAAGTTGTTTCTCTCATACATGTAAAATAATCCATCCAAGAAATGTTCCCAAAAATGATACTCCTCAGCAGGCTCTCCATGTTTTTCATCTAATATATCTACAATTTTGGCACATATAACAGCTCCTGCAGTAACAAAATAATCTTTGAAAACATAAAATGATTCGTCTAGTGCAGTGTTAGAAACCAGTTTATGTGGAATTCCTTTTGATTCTTCCCATATTCTATTTAATCCATAAATTTTACATATATCTTCATCTGACAAGAGTCTAGTTCCATGACTAGCTTTTACTATTTTGTACTGATTATCAAGTTTAAGGAAATTTCCTTTCCTTTTATCAAGAACAATCCCTTTCTGAGCAAATGCCATTTCGGCCTCAGTAGCAGAAGCAAGACATCTGGGATAATCATATTTATCAATTAAAAAAGATGCGAGAGTTTTGTAGATCAAACTAATTAATGGCTTCAACTTATACTGACAAATAGTATGATCTAGATCAAAACCAATACAATCATATGATTCTAAACAAAATTCTTGAGGACACATGCTTTGGGCAAACGTCAGCTTGGTTGAATTCGATCTGAAAATAAAGAAATGAGATATAATGACTACCAGCAAGCATCCTTTACATGCAGTAAATTATTCTAATGAAGGTATGCTCTTTATGCTTTAGAAATTATCCCCAATGCAATTAACAATACTACTTTTCCTTAAAACTATACTATTATTGCAACATAGTTCCCCCATCGCACTGAGGGAAAAAACATAACATTAATATATTTGTGACTTTAAAAACAAGGAAAATTCTGATAGTTTGAAAAAATATAAGTACTGAAAAGGAAGCATTAGAAAAGAGGTCAAGAATTTGAAATCATCTTATAAGAAAGAACTTGAAATCATCTTATTATCATATATTATATATAATCGGCATACTGTTGAAACTCTGCTGGATTATAAATAAATTTATAATGAATATATTTGTGAAGGTACAGAATATATTTCTTAAAAATAAGTATGAAAGGTCTCAGAAATATATAAATTACATATGCTCTAACATCTGCCAGAACTCCAAACATCATAAGAGTTTACAAAATAGTACAGATAATAAAACATCAGTCCACATCTCAAAGTCAGCAATAAAAAATATTCAATATTCATGTAGTATGTGATCTATCATTTTTAGTTAGCTATTTACTTCTTTGATGGTGCCACTAAAGTGCTATTTTTAAATATGAAATTAAACATAAATAATAAAGAATAAATGAAAATGATTCCATTAATTAATTTAATGAACTATTAAAAGTTTTAAATCTATTAAACTGCTTTCAATTTTACAAAACAAATGCAGGAGTGCCCTTTAAAAAGGCCACTTTTATGACTTGTTTAGCTATAATATAGATCTCCCCATACTTTCACAAAATAATATGGAAGCATTTGTGGTGTGGTACACTGTATGTAGCATAGAATCTTTAGTTTCAGAATTCCTCAGCATGATTTAATTGTTTGAGCCATGTGCAGGATTGACAAACTTCTCTTTGTAGTTTACAGTTTGATGATCAATCACAAAAGTGGTAGACTGTATACTGTATGTTAAATATAATAAGTTATAATTATGTAGCTTGCCAATACATGGAGGCAGTATTTGTTGTACAAAAATAAAAGAAAGAAAAAAAAATCTGAAAGCTTTCAGATTTTATATTATGCCTAAAGTTTTTTTTTTTTTTTTTTTTATGTTTTGCATGTTACCATTATTTATTAAATATCATATTCTTTACTCTTAAACCACAAAAAATTCAATTCAACAACAATATTACAAAATATTTAAAATCACCAAGCATATCTTTAGAATTTCTGACAGACAATCTGAAGATACAAATGTTTTCTTCGTACAATGTTGCTATTGCTCGCTTTGAAATCATTGAGTTTGTTAATAAAAAATTTGTTAAAATTTTAGAAAATATGAAATAGATAATAAAACAAATACAAAATTCAGGCTTTCAGGTGCCCATGTTCGTAAGGAGGATTATTATTATTATTATATGTTATACAAAATTTGATGGCTCTAGGTACTATTGTTTCTTCACAATGCAAAACATACATACATTTATGCAGATTGTTCATTATTTAATTTCTTTAAAAATAATACAGGATGATGATATTTGGTGACAACAATTTAAAAAAATTATATGTCATTTATAGTGAACCGATGGAAAATGCTGTTTCAAGATTAATAACCCTTCTGGACTAATGCTTCTTTGGGCTAAAAAAAAAAAAAAAAAACTGTGACGTCATATTTGTATGAAAGTAGGGGTTTCATCTGTGGTATTTATCAATTAAATGCTGTATAGAATTACACTCTCTGTTTATTATCTTAAATTTGATTCAGTGTGATTTAATAGAGATTTATAAATTTTCTTCACAGCATTAATAAAGAATTTTCAATATAAAGTATTCAGTAATTCTAAAGTGATAAGAAAACTACTTCCTAAAAATCTTCATATTTCAAATTTTTAAAAACAACTGTCATTTAAAAATATGCAATTCAAACAGCATAAATTTTAATAATTTTAAAGGTTAAAAGGAATACTTAAAGATCATAAGCAAATCAAATATCGCAATAAAGCTGTGAACACTGAATATAAGCTTTTAAAGCTTATGTAGTATTTATCTTTGTTACAGATTTGAATAAACATTTTTGAGTTACGAGAATAGCATACAGTTAGTGCTTGGTGGCTCCTAAATTCATACTTCAAAGTAATCGGTTCAAAATTTCCTTTCTCAAGGAATATCAATTTTTGTACCTAATACCAGATTTATTTTCAAGCAATTAGTGACACAGGTATTTAAATATTTCAGACAGGAAACAAAACACAGTAAGTGGCTAAGTTTTACTTGTTAGCATAATTACAGCTGGTTTCACAATTCTAATTAATCAGTTCAAAATTTCCTTTTCCAAGGAACATCAACTTTTCAATTTGAAGCTAAGTCCAGATTTATTCTCAAGCACTTAATGATAGATGTATCTAAATATTTTAGACAGGAAACAAAGCAAAGTAAGTGGCTATACTTCACTCATTAATACAGTGAAACATCTGATAGCAGCCACCTCAAAATATTGTTAGCATTTCTGATAGCAGTACTGGAAATCTTGACATCTAAAGGACCAAGCTTTTAGGTAAATGGATCACAGGTGTCATGCACCTAAGCATAAGCTTTATCCTGCATGAAACAGCATACAGTTCTAGACCATATTTGGTTATATGCCATCCTTGCAGAAGGAAGCAGATGCAAGAAACAAATCACCCAGAACCATATGAGCTCACCTTGAGAGGCTTTAAAGTACTCTACTCACCCTAAGGAATTTATTTCTTATAAACCTTCTATAAGATTATCTTTTATATAAAGATTAACTAAGAACTACCAATTATAAATCCTTTCCACAAATAGCCCAAGAAGCACTTATAAAATAGTAGTAGCAGCAGAAGAATTTTTTTGAAAACTCATTTGAAATATATTAAAAAAAACTTAATTTATAAAGCTGTTTTTTTTTTTTTTTTTTTTTTTAAATTTTTAATTAAAAGTCCTGACTGCTTTTGGGAGAACAAAGTCTCCACTACTTTTTTAAATAAAAAATTGAGCACTTATTGTGAAAGAATGGTATATTATTGTTTTTCAAAGTATTGCCCATTTCTAGCCACTATTTTCTCCCTCTTTCTGGCAGCACATGGATATTGCATCAGAAGAAGGCTTCATCTTTGGAGGCTTTCCCCAAATGAATCCAATTTTTGGTATCTTCATACCATGTGAAGTGCTACTCAGATAGGCCATGTGTCATCAATCAAAACATGAAGTAATCAGAACCAGGAATGTCTGGTGAATACAGTGGGAGGAGGGAAAACTTCTCATTTGAGTGTTTTTGAGTAAGTCTTGAACAAGGCTTCAACATGTGGATGAGTGTTATCAAATAATTTTGTCATGTCTGGAGTAGTAGTGGGCACATTTTTCTTTGAGTGCTTGGCTCAGTCTCATCAACTGTGTTTGATAGAAAACCCCAGTAATGGTTTTATTCAGATAGTCCCCATAATTTCTTCTTTAGGTTATCCTAGTAGATCCATTTTTCATCACCAGTGACTATACAATGCAAAAAATCCTTTCGCTTATGAATGGCAACCAACTTTCATTTGTAAAAATTCGGCATTCAACATTTGTCAGCTATATGGAACCCATTTTCCTTCCTCTTGAACCAACCACTCCCAATGATTTTAAACGATGTGAAATTGCTTGTTGATTCCTTTCTAATGCAGTGCAAGTTTTACTTGCATTTGGCACGAATCTTTATCCAATAATGCTTCCAATTCTTTTATCATTCCACTCTGTTCTTGGTCTCCGGCATAAAATTCCCCATTCTTAAACATTTTAAACCACTTATGACAACTTCTTTCACTTAAGGCAGCCTCACTATAAGCTTCTACAATCAATCAATGTGCCTCACATGCAGATTTCTTCAAATCAAAGAACTAAATCAAAAATTCCCACAAATGACACTCATTTGGCTCAAAACTCGACATTTTCACATGGAAAAAAAAAAAAAAAAAAAAAATACACTGGTTATGATAAATTAAGGAAAAATCACAAAAATAGCAATAACTCCCTCAAAAATAAGCCAAACCATGTAAAATTTGAATATGTTGCCAAGTAAGAGTAGCTGAGTAAAACTGCAATATGCAAATTAGTGGCGCTACTTTCGGAATATGTCATCTGCGAGGAGCATAAAAGCCCATGTTTGAGAGCAAGCCCGCATATTTCACTCTGACAGTGACATCAGAAATCTGAGATAGCCAATTCGTAACAATGACCTCCACGCATCATTTGCCTGCAGAACTGCGATGGAGAGCCATTGGGAGACTAGAGGCAGGACAAAGTCAAAGAGAAGTGGCCAGATGGCTAAATGTAAGTCCTTCTCTGGTTCATAGACTTTGGAGGCAATTTCAAATCACAAATTCGGCATCTAGGAGGTTCAGCCAAGGACGGCCAACTGCTACGACGAGTGCCGATGACCGATATTTGACATTATGTGCATGCAGGAATAGAACCGCTACTCCGACTCTTCTTAGAACCTCCCTTGCTGCAGCCACCGGAAGGTTCGCGCCAATGTCAACTGCGTGTAGAAGGCTTCACGAAGGTGGTCTGTATTGCGAGGCAACCAGCAATTTGAGTGCCGCTAACATCACGCCATAGGAGAGACAGTTTTCAGTGGGCACGACAACATGTCCACTGGACACATGATCAATGGAGGGCGGTTCTCTTTATGGATGAGTCCTGGTTTAGTGTAGAAAGTGCTAGTAGGCATTATTTGATATGAAGAAAACCTAGAACCCATTATCCTCTGTCAAACATCCGTGAAAGAGATGCATAAGAAGGGGCAGTGTCTGTGTTTGGGGTGGCATCTCTTTGGGTGGACGTACAGACCTCCATGTCTTTCCAATGGAAACCGTGAATGCTCAGATTTATAGAGATGACATCCTTGATATTTATGTGCGTCCATATGCCAGGGCAATAGGTGATGCTTTCCTGTTACAG